GGGGACGCGCATTTAGGTATGAACCGTCTGTAGAAACGTACGAGGCCGCTAAAAGTTCGCAACTGCCTAATCGTGGTCGCTTCTGGGTAATCCAGAATGGCCGCCACTTTGCTTCTAAGGGGTCGGATGCCTTGAGCATCAATGGTGTGTCCTAAGAAGTCTAAGGAGTTAGTTTCGATTTGGCATTTCTGAATGTTTACAGTAATACCATGCCTTTGGAGTCGATCGAAAACAATGTCCACATGCTGGAGATGTGATTCTCTGTTCGGACTTGCTATGAGACAGTCATCAACATACGCATGTACGAAGTTGAGACCTCGGAAGACGTCGTCTATAAACCTTTGGAAGGTTTGAGCCGCGTTTCTTAAACCAAAAGGGATTCGTAGAAATTCGTAGAGGCCGAAAGGAGTTGTAATGGCGGTTTTTGGTATGTCGTCAGTTGCCATCGGTATTTGGTTGTAAGCCTTAAATAAGTCGATTTTCGAAAAGACAGTTGTACTCTTCAAGGTAGCTGTCAAATCATAAATGTGAGGCAACGGGTAACGATCGGAAATGGTATTAGCATTCAGACGCCGGTAATCAGTTGGACGCCAATCATTGCTGTCCTTTTTAGGGACCATGTGCAATGGAGATGACCATGGACTATTCGATGGTCGAATTATCCCTAAGTCTATCATGTGGTCGAATTCATTTTTAGCCAACCGAAGCTTTTCGGGAGCCAGTCGTCGTGCTTTTGAGCATGTAGGTGGTCCTGTAGTCGAGATGTGATGTGTAACATTGCTGGTTACACAAGGCAATTTCGGTTGCGGTTGATATATCCCGGAGTATTTTTTGAGTAATGGTTGATATATGGGGTCTATGGCGTGCTTAATTGTGACTGGGGATAATCTGCAACCAGAAAGAGGAGTTACACAAACGGATAACTTAGTGTTTCCGTCTATTAACCTTCGTGAGCGTGTGTCGATGAGTAGATTGTGGTATTGTAACAGGTCTGTATCAATGGTTGGCATGGAAACATCTGCAACAACGTATAAGAGGCGGCTATGTTCGCCGGCTACGGTTGCCGTTAACGCGTACCGGCTGAGAGGTTTCCCGAATTCTTATTTGCGTCGGTCGCCTTAGAGATCGGGTAGTTTCAGGGCTTCCTGCAATTTCTGGAAGACTTACCGTACTGGTTATGATACCAGCACCAGTCAGGATTCTCTGTCTCTCGTGACAGGGAGACAGATCGCCTAAGTGAGATACTCCTTCGCGCGTTTCTTGACCGACTACGGTCATTACGAAATTTAAGATATCGTGCGAGCGTGTGACATAGTTCGGCTATGTCAGTTGGGGTCTATTGAGGTTTTTCCTTGACGGAATAAACCTCAGCGCTTGTCGATTTGGTAATTTTTAAAATTCGATCCGCAGATGCAGCTAGTTCGTCTACGGCGTTGTTTTGGAACGAGACAAGCACTGACTGCACCTGTTTCGGGAGTTTAGATAAGAAAAGCTGTTAAAATAGGCCATCGTCGAATGTTCATTGACCTATGACCTCTCTCATCCTTAACAACATGTCTGTCGCGGAACCATGTTGCAGGTCGATATTGTTAAGCAGTTGGTCTAACCGTTGTCGATCAGTTAGATCTCCGCGTTTTAGAATACATCATTTGTGAGTTTCGTAAGTTTCCGGAACATCACTAGTAAACATACTAGGTGTTACATACCTGTTAAATCCGCGCGTATGACAATTCATTATTGGTTTTTATGTCCTGCTCCAATCACATGAATTGTCCGTCAATCGAAATACGACTTTTTCGATCTTAACACTGTGACAAATCAATGACGTTCGACCAGTATGAGAAGTCTAGCGTTCTTATTGGTCCTTTGTCCGCCTAGTCCTTCCAATTGAGTCCAGAACACCAATCGCAGTTTGTGCTATGTGAATCTATGCTGATCATTGATTTCAAGCATACGTGGTTTATATACCAGACAAACAGACCGCATCACACCATAAAACAGAAAATAATATTTGTATAAGATCAAGCCAAATGTGGCTGTGAACATGGTATACAGTAATCAATAAACTGAACATAATTTTGGAACGGTAGATCATACGGTAATAGTTCATAGGTCAAAATGAAGCTTATAGATATACACAATCTAATTACTCAATAGTTAAACAGTGAGAATATATATATGAAATAATAGTCCATTAATAGGTCACGGAAATTACTCATACTTATATCTTCTCCAGGATATAACAGTCGGCACACATCAACATTAACTTTTCCACATTGTTCTCTAACGCAGAAAGGTGCGAACCTTTATACGGAACAATGATGAGGAGTTTCCCGGACACCATGGTGTAGTCCAAAGGATGTGGGATGCAGTGACTTTCAAGTGAAAATTTCGAAATACATCCAAAGCTGTCTTGATTGCGTGCTCTGGCTTCCCTGTCAAATCTACTGAGGATTCTGAGTGTATAATATCTCCAATATTTTCTTTCCAGCCGTCAGATCTGGGTTGGGCCGACGCGTGTTCGTTTCGACAATCATATGAACACTTTCACGTAAGGGTGGCAAGTAATTGGAGTTTGTGACGTCACCCCACAATTGGTCAATATAAGATCTAGTGAGGATGATTCAGAGTCCGGGTCGTACCTAGTCACTTCCTCCAAATGTTGCGCTTCGGCATATGCGATGACTGCATCAAATAGTTCCTGCTCGAAGGAATTTTCTTACAATTCATTTCTCAGACTTTTCCAATCTACCATAGGTGCATTCAGTCTGTCAGAATTAAAAGTCGGCCACGTTGTGATCAGGTATTGAAACCGTCTATCAAGGCCTCATTCACCTAACAACTTGAACAGAGGCAAACCAAACTGACATGCACCTCTTGTCCTTTGTACTTCGGGCGAAAACTAATTAATTCACACGTACCGCTCTCGCGGGATATGTTATCAGTAATGATAAATGAGATAGTATTTCTAATGACTAGAGCTACTCCTAATTTACGCTTCTGATTTCTGTAGGCTCTTACTAATAATGAGCTCTCAAAATGAATTTAACTGTGATCACATATGGAGAATTCTTCTAGGTAACCCATACTGAAGAGGAAATTAGGAAAAGACGTTGGAAGTGGATCGGACATACATTAAGGAAATCACCAATGTGCATCACGACTCAATCCCTAACTTGAAATCCGGAAGGGAAGCGGAAAAGAGGAAGGCCAAAGAACACACTACGCCAGGAAATAGAAGCCGATATGAAAAGGATGAATATGAACTGGAAGGAACTGGAAACGAAGGCTCAGGACAGAGTTGGATGGAGAATGCTGTCTGTCTAAACACCTAGCTTCAATCAATTGTTAAGCAAGACTCAAGCATTTGTATAACAGATCCGAAGACCATTCAAATGACTTCGTGCTGAACCAAGGATGGCTTCTATATATTAGTCTGTTGAGGTCTCGCCACCCGAAAACTCACAATTTTAAGGTCCTTCTCGCCAGCATTTAACCGTAGTTTTGGTTGTTTTTCAGCTCCTCATCTTTTTACAAGAGCTATGATAGACAAGTCTTTACGCACAAATACTCCTGACCCACTTAAATTATATCCGTTCTGTAGTATTACGTTCCGTTCGTTGGGAGATTTGAATACTATTTTAAGCAGATTGGTTTGACTCTACTTCAAGCTCATTTGATTGCCTAGTCTATAAACTGTTTGCAAGGTAACTCCGGATATTCACTGAGCCATCAGCTTATTTGGTAACTGCTTTACCAACCCAATGTCATTCAAAACCTGTTTGAGTTTCTGATCGTTCACAATCCTTCATTCTATGGGAGATAACTGACTTGCCACTATGATCAGGTCTTAATTTCTCAGCTACTTTGAAGGGGTGGTGAGTTTTTTCAATAACATTATGTCGCTTCTTGTTTTCGACTTGTACACATTCGTCAACTTTCGTCAGAGTAGCAACTACATTCGCATCACGCACATTGTGAGAATCCGAATGATTGCCGACGACTTGAGTAGTCAGGCTTTCAGTTTTTTACTAGAAACAGATCTAGCCTTATGATTAGGTCTTTTTAAGAGTTTCCTGATGGCTGCCATTTAGAAGACAGGGGAAAGAAGAAACTTTTTTTCCTCAGCTTTTATTTCTGTCAAACCTCCCTGAAGTCGATCTTTTCTCCTTCGATCTATGTAAGTCAATCAATACCGAGCTCATTTGAAATGACTTTTCATCATTTAAGGTATTGGCAGATTGAGCATTGTCCGATGTGTCTCGACCTCGTTTGCCAATACCCTTTTCGTTAGCATTTATATGCTGTTTGAAGGAACCAATGATTCCTTTGAATCGATGACTGCTTGATTTTGAACACCAAATATAATACATTCGTTCGTGCTCATCTAATACTTATTGAATTAATTGCGTTGTTTCTGGGGTTATTCGTTTATACTATAATTCAAATACTCTTAAACATCACAATTTACCATTGTAATGGACTCGGATAGCAAGCTATGTGCATCCACGTAGCATTGAAGACAAAACCACACGTAACCATTTTAGAGCCGTAGGCGTTAGATTTGTGCAAACTTTATAGTGTCATCATTCGCACTCGTCGCAATACATGCCACTCTCAACTGGGTATTGACAACCTGGTAGTTGGAAATTGATTTTTCTGCACTGTCCAGTCACCAATCAAGAGTTTTCAGAAAGAAACTAGATACAGTGACGCTTAGAGACATTAGGAACTTATGACCAACAAAATTGGAAGTCTGTAAATTGTTAGAACCAAAAGTGCTAACGAATACAATAGAAAAAATATACACTCAAGTACCGAGATAAACTATTAGGGGACAAAAACGATAACCCGGTAGAATACTTTGACCAGAATAAATTCAATCAAAGTATAAACGGTATTCCTGACACGTAATAAATGATCAAAACAATAAAATTTATTCAGCAATTAAATAAACCACTTGCCTTTTTAAAAATGGCGCGCGTTTTCGTAATAATTATGTGGCGGAATTTGTGAGTATTGCGTTATGTCGCATCTCTCAGCTTATCCGCATACTGCTGTTATGTATCCTCATTATATACTTCAAACTGATACTTAAGAGTTTCATTTATATGTTTAGTTGTGAAAAACATGCTTCTTAAGTTGTCGTTACATGTTGGTTTTCGTCTCTTTAGATTTTCGGTTTAAGTTTATCGAATCCTAATTTCTTAATACTCGTGAGAATTTTATTAGTTTTGGGTAATCCATCCGAATTCCTTTTAAAAAACGCGGAAAAACCCGCGATTTTTTGTGGCTTAGAGTTTTTCTTCTAGATTTCAAATTATTTTGGAGAAATCAGCACGTGTTTTGGGGAGGATTTCAGATTTTTCCCATAGTTCCTCAAAATTTATGTTCCTTGATGAAACTTTAAAAAGAAAGAAAGAGACATGCAGACTTCAGAAGATTAGAATTCGGCAGAACATAAAGGGTAGATGCACCTGCGACATTGCAAACGATTTTGTGCCATGTCATTCAAGGTCTATAACCATCGGTTGCTATCATCTCGCGGATCCCAACCAGGTAGTCTACACCTACCAACATGACTCAGTCTGCGTGTCAGTGACCTCATAGATTTGTACAATTTTGGGTCAGGCTGCACCTAGCTTTCTACCAACTTACTCCTACACCATAAAACATTTCATGTCGGGGCAGTCGTTGGTTGGGGTTACGTAACACGTGCCCAACTGTTAAAGATTCACTACTTCACCAATCGATTTGCCATCTTTGCCTAGTACCCGTTTCCTAACAATTGCATTTCTTACTTGGTGGTCCCAGCGTATACGAGCAATACCTTGAAGACACCTATGATCGAATACTAGTAACCAAAGAATATCCTCTACTCTTACTCTCCACGTTTCACTGCCATAAAGTAGGACGGAATCCGTCCTTTGGTTGGTAGATAGATATCTCGCCTACGCCATATATGACGAAAGCTAGATTAGTCTTCTGTATCCGTGCTGAGATTTCTCCACGCACCAGACCACAAGGGCTGATAGGACCTCCAAGATAAGTGGAGCGGTCGACACACTCAACTGGAAATTGATATGATGAAAGTGTTATTTCTCTTAGCACGCCAACGACAAAGTAAAACAAGAATGGACAGCCCTGACGAACACCACTTGACGTAATCAATTCTGATTTCAGTTCGTCATAGGCTCTAACTTGACCAGTTGTGTTCGAGTAGAGTCTTTATGAGGTTAATGTACTTCCTTGGTACTCCTTTCAGTGACAAACACTGCCATAGAACCTCACGATCAATGGAGTCAAATGCCGCCTTAAGGTCAAGGAATACTACGATTGTGGGACGTCTGAATGTGTGTCTACGTTCTAGGACCTGACGTAGAGTGAATATCGGGTCTATGCAACCACGTCCAGGTCAAAAACCAGTCTGGTTTTCTCTAGTCTGCTCTTCACGAGCTTTGGTTAGGCGTCCAAGTATTATTGAAGTTAATATTTTAGACACTGTATTAGTCATACTGATCCCTCTGTGATTGTCACAGGAGGACTTTTGTTTTTTCTTATAGACTGGCACAATCAGTGATTGGGACCAATCAGATGGAATTACATCCAGTTCCCAGATTCTACCTAAGACCTCAGTCAATCTCGCTGCTAGTACTGAACTGCCACCCTTAAAAATCTCAGGGGTAAACCCGTCAGGGCCTGCTGCTCGCCCACGCTTCAGATTTCCCATAGCTTTTTCAACCTCTTAAAGAGTTGGTGGACTTGCATTAATTTGCCATTCATTTATTATTATTTAAACACGAATATTGGTACAGGGGGCACCAGATATATATGAGCCACACAAATCTCATTCGATTTGTGTGAGGGTTGTGATACTACCCAGGTGCCCAAACTGAAGCAGGTGGTTTTCTTACGGTGACACACCCTTAGTCTTTGACCTAAAGATTTGATCCACAAGGCAGTGGAGCATCGTAATGAGATGCAGTCCGATGGTACTCGGTGACCAACGATTGATTCATACGCCATTTATTCCCTCAGGATATTGGAGCCCATGTGCACCACTGGTTTGGAATCAGGGTTTTCCAACTCCCCTAGGTGGACCCTCCATGTCCACCAACCCGGTTAAAGCGCTGGACATTCGCTTTTCGTCCTCTCACTTTTGTACACAACACCCCCGCCACGAGAAGGCAGTGAGTAGGACTTCCCTGGCAGAGGCTATATACGCGTGGCCATATGAGAGTATTTCGAGAGGGAGAGGTGACTCTCCCCACTCTCGGCCGTACCAGGGCATTTGGGGGCAAGACGAAATATATATATATATAACTCAAACTTTTTTGATATCTGGGTACTTTTATTTATCACACCTTTGTTATTTTATTTGAATGTCATCTTGTTGATTCAGTGTCTTCTTTATTGACGAACACTAATAATGTGGAACCTGGTGTAAATGTGTATTTTTTAAAGTTTTACTTCTTCATATGACAGTGGAAAAAGAAAAGTGAAAGTATACGGAAGCGTTAAAACAATTATGTCAAAGCCTTTGGAATACTTTCACCAATCGAACAAGTACACGTACGTTTTTGTGTTCTGTGTGGAACTGAATGGCTAGATCCTTTAGATATGTTTTCTGCAGGAATAAAAAGGTCACGAAAACTTTATAAACTTATTTAAGAAAAAAATGACATTTTTAGATGTTTACATTTTTCTCGCTCTTCCATCCGACCTTGTGTATTTATTTTCGCTTTGTCATGATTCATCATACAAATGAAGATTTTTGTATTTGGAAAAATAAATAAACATCATAATGAAGTTTAAGAACCCTGTTGAACACTATCTGATGATAGGCCATCGACAACCGATTTATAAACAGCAGGTTCATATACAGATAGTGAGCTAATTCACAGATTTCCAGTGGAATATTGAATAGAAGCTTCTAAAGTTTGACGAGAGAGATTTTTATTATTGTAGTCCATGCTTGTTGGTCTTATGATTTTTATCAAAGTGTAAAATTTAAGGGCATTAATTTCGAACAGCCTATCTGGTTTCGATTATTGGTTTCCGAAAACAACCAATTGATTACGTGAAACCACTTGGACAGAACGAAAACGCCATTGTAGCGAAGTTACTGATTGAAATTATTTGTAACATTAAAATAAGAAGCGGTAGACCATGTTTAAATGAGGTGGTACATGGACATAAAGTAATACTGTATGTTCTTATGTAACAACAGTTTGAGTTTACGAGTATTTATTCGTAGAAAATAGGATATTTGGATTGACGTAACTTTTATGAAGCATTTGATCCTATTCAGAAGCCCAAATCTAAATGGAAAGCTGTTGTGAAGAAACCGCTACTCAGCTTTTAAACGAAGGATTTTATCTATGAGGTAGTATCAGGAGAAGCAACACCATAGTGGTCTAGAGTTGTTTTAGGTTGACAAAAGACTCACTTTGTTAAGATGCTGAGTTTTATATATTGTTATTTTAGAGAGTGTTTCCCACCTTAGATGTGTCTTCTGTATCTCATAAGCCTTTACTTGGGAACACCTCACCGTAGTAGGGAGAACAAGAACTTTCTCAGTATAAGGTATGAATGCGCAGTTATATAACATCGTTCTGGAAAGAAAAATAAATTAAGATCCCTTTCTATTCTTCAGTTGAAGTCTTTCATTAAATTTAAAGCTTAGTTTCACTCCACACTGCTCGTCCCTCTTTATTATGTTATTTTCAAACTATATTTCGTATACTTAGTTTTACCAAACAATGGATGTCACTATACCTACTCTAGTATATTTCGTCGTCTTGGTCTTCTCTCTCATTGTGCTTATACAAAACACTAATTTGGATCGATAGAGCAGAAAGTCGGAGTGTCGATTCTTGACGAAAAAAGGGGATTGAAAAACGCTTCATTTTGCACTACAGTTATCATCGTTAGTAGTAAAATGAAGAAACATAAATTATTCAACTAGTATCACGTGTGACCTGTAGAAACAAATTTCTTCAGCCTTTTAACCTTAATTGTTTTCTTCGAGTTTCCAAAACATCACTATCCAAACTTTTACTAGTGCAAATATTTTTCTTTTTGGTTGGTCTTTCAGTCTTTCCCCTTTTTATTTCTCTTATTTGACGGCTTCCATTGAATAATTTTCCTCTGTGACTCAATTCGCCTCGGATTTTATTTCGTGATAAGAGTATAAGTCATCTGTTCAGAGAGTTGAAGCACTAAAGGACTTCCATCCACGTCTACCATGGTTGAGTACTTAGTCTGGCATAAAAAGAGCAGTCCGGGACCTTCTGTCACTTAAATCTATTGTATCTAAACAACCTCATATTAACTAATTGATGTAAATTATAACTTCTGGCTAGCTGAGAGCATGGTGACAAGGAAAAGTTGTTTAAACACAGATTGACGCAAGTTTGTACAACGACTGCGAACACCGATAGCAAAAGAATAGGAATGTTTAGTGTGAAGAAATCTCGACTTATTTTATAGTCAATGACCCATGAGGCGATTGTCAAAGAAAACTAGTTATTATTAGTTTATTTATGTAATGTTTCAAAGAGTGTCATTTCAAATTGACGCACTTTCCGTTGAAAGGTCCTGTGTTCATATACATATTTCATAAGGTCGTTTTGTCATTAACTTTTACAAATAAAAATATACTAGTAAAAACCATTATTGTTGTAATGTTGTCGCCTCCAGCACCAGTTGCTGAGCGCATCGTTAAAGTATGCTTATGTTTATTTGGGTAAGTTTAAAAAACTACGTATAACTAAATCCTTTGGAGCGCTGTTGCCAGTGTTGTTGGATCAGTACACTAGATTTTCCGTAGGTATAATATAGGTGGACTGACCTTTGGTTATTTATGTGATTAATATTCAAGACTAGTCCCTCTATTTCTTATGATTTTATTCATTGTTTCCTTCGTTATCACCAAGAATCTTGGTATTGTTCTAAAAAGTGCCTGATGTGATCACATGAAGTAGATAAACAATATTAAATTTCTGTTTTAGGTAATTGTCCAAAGGTGTATTCAAAGGGCTCTTTATTGTAATGATTGTTACCTATACATAAGTCGCATTGAAAGACAGCTGTTGTAATACGGATATTGTATGCAAAGTGATCACTGAATCTTCAGAACAAAATATTACCAACTTTATTTAACCAGTTTTAATTCCTGATTATATGTCAATGGATATAACAAGTGCTTTCTTTTCGGCTTGTCGAATTGGACTAGAACCTGGTGAACTATTACACAGCAGTTGGTTTGACTTGCAGTATTCCATGTCAGCCATTGAGGTAATGGACCCTAAAATGGATGCTCGAATCCAAGGAAACCGAAAAATTGTGACTGTATGTGAGGCGTTATCTAGTGAGCAGTTACCTTTGGGGCCTTTTTCGTCACTTTACGAGCTTTTGGGCATCATAGATGAACTTTTAGCTGCTTTTGTCAATTGGCTGACGGGAGATTCTCTCGCGCAAAGTATATTTATTTGCATGTATATGCACTGCACGCAGTTAATTAGAGATAAGTATCTTGCTGCATTTTGTGAGTTATTAAGACGATCAGTCTATCTGTTGCGCGATATAATAAGCACTGTCGGTGTTTTTGACGAGGAAGATCATGACATACTCACACATGGTATGCCAATTCATGAACCGTCCCATATGTTTGATGTTTACGACAGTTTTCGTAATGAATGTCTGCATAAATTGTCAGTGTTAGAATTAACAGCTCATGTAAATGATTTGAATGGAAATCTTGAAAGTGAATCTACCATGTTTGCTGATCGTGAGGAAAAATTACTTATGGGATTAAAAAGTCGCCTACAGTTTGTTCAAGCGTTATTGCTGTTCACAAATTCAATCTCTGAGTGTATACATCCAACTCGAGTCGATTTTAATCAGGATCTATTTGAAGGATATACACATGCAGATCTTGATTTTTCGGGACAAAATTCATCATCTAAACTGTATGAAGATCAAAATAACACAGAAGTTGTATGGGACTCGTTCATAGATTTTTGTAAGAAAGTATCACAGCATATAAGTACTCTGAAATCACTGAGTGATATACTAGTAGAAACTTCAAACATTGGCAAAATGGCTGGTGAAGGAAAGCTTAAACCAAAGGACGCTGCATATGGTCTTCCAGGTTTCGAAGTTTTTTTGAATCAAGCCAGCATACCTCCATTTTTGCCCAAAGTGGCAAACATTCATGATCGTCACAAATCATTCGTTTATTTTTCAAGTCTCTTTACAAGACTGAATCATATTTTATGTACATACGAAAATTTTGCCTTATGGCATGATTTACATCCTGAACCACTACGCATTCATAGTTTATGGACATTTATTCAGAAATCTGGTCAAATATCCTGTCCTTATGTCAAAGCTCTTTTGTTTCCTGACGACCCTAGCAAAGTAAATGAACCCCTGTTAACTACTTGTGTTTTATCAAGGACAATTACATACACGTTTTATTCCGCTCTTATGTGGCAAGGGGAGGTTATTGATTTTAAGCCCCAGTCTTTCTCTCCAATGTATTTTCGCTACTTCCTAAATTCATGGCACCAATTAGAACCTACTACTCATCGCCCACTGATTGAGAATGTCATTTCTAATATTCCTGAACTCATGAGTTTTTTCACTACACTTTCAACTCATTTTGCCCATGTAAGTGCACGTTGTAATTTATATATATATATTTATAAAAGGTTCTCAACCTTCTAAATATAAGACTAATTCTTAACCTGTTCCACTTGGTGATTATCTTGATGGTCTGCACATGGTCTATACGAATTCAGCCTTTTTCAAGCCTTGATTATCTTTCAATAAAATCGGATGAACATGGCTAGGTAGCAGCTGGTTCAATAATTGCAGTTAAAGATATTTTCCATCCACTGGACAACCATTAAAATTCAAAAACCACTGGACAGCTGTTTAATTGTAGGTTGAAATGCAGTATTGTCGACTCACGGCCCTACACAGGTACGGAGAAAGGAACTTTGGGTTATGCGACAGCTACACTACCTTTCAATCTATAAATCAGAGTCCATTAGTCTACACTTTTGATTTCAGGTAGTTCGTGAAACAACACTGCGACCATCTAATCCTTCCAGTGGTTACTTTGATTCTTGAGATGTTTTAACTCTATCAGTGATTATTCCCAGCCAACACTTTCGAAATGCATCTTAAAAGTGGTCAATAGTGCTGATATAACTAGTGTGTAGTTGATTAATTTGTGAATATTGGCTCATTTTGAAGAGCCATAATCTTTGAATTGAAACTAGAAATATTAATCAACGTTGTTGAGCACAAATAAACCCTGCGAATCAAAGTCAACTGTGCAGATTACGAAGTACTAGCCCTGGATTATTGAACTACAAGTTCTGGTCTGTCTCCCCCAGTTTCAATCATAGTCCAGTAAATAACGATAATTCTCTACTAAACGTTGACTAGGAGACAATCAACTGGATAATTAATCCAGGTTAACTAACCCTGGAGGATTTTACTCAGTAACCTAACATTATTGGCTAAGAATTTGACACTGGTTCGTTTCATCTTGTTATCATATTTATGGTGCGATTTCAGGATATATGAGGGTAGCCTCAAATATGTTACCGCATCTACACTATTGCCGCCCGACTATCTTGTGTAATTTTTCATGCTACTACCTAACATTGCTCAAGACTGTCGGTTTAGTTACCAATTAATCCATGATCTAAACGACATTATTTTTATTTCGTAGCTGACATCAGCTAAAATGACTTACCTTATGATTTTTTATGGTTTTTGTTTTGATTAATTAATGACTCTTAGTGAAATACTTTTGCCAAAATACTGAATCAATAAAATATTTTGATTAGTATATGATAACCATTCTGTTTGTTTTTCATAAATACCTACTATCCAAACACCGGGCTAATAGGTCTATTCTGATGGTTTATTTGCGTGAGATATAAATATCTGTTATCAAGCTGTCATAAATTTCTGTTATTACAACCCATCTATTCCTATTGCTCAATATTCTTGGACACCAACTTACTCGACAAGTCCCCAAATCCGAACACAGTTGCACAGGAAAGAAATCATGTTCCAAATAACAAAGGGTAGATGAAAGTAAGAAACATAATAAGAAAAACGTTACTATATCTATAGTTTCTACATGAAAAGATTCTAAAGTGTTCTCCAAGTATCGACTAGCGGTGGTCTGATAAGAATTAGTCAGTCAGCGTGCGCCAACGCATTAGTGCACGAAACATGCTTTAATTCAATCTATGTCCCGCTAACACAAGCAGGTGTAGGAAGCGGTACGTATTGTTTACAATATAAACTAGATTAACTGGCGAATTCGAATTCCCACAAACAAATATCCGAATAACCCTAATCATGCTAACTACTTTTATCTCATGTAACCCGAAGTTTACATTGGGTTGCTATAAGTCAGTAAACGTTCTGTTCACAGGTATCCAACATTTGCAAGGTTATGAATTTTTGGGGAATGTGGTTGATAATATATGTTAAAACTTATAGTTAAATCTTAATATACTTAACTGTTTTAAGGATATATCCATTCTTTATACTATTTAAACTTGTGTTAGTTTATTTCGGTTATTTATTTACACTGAAGAAGTGGCCTACAGTAAGTCACGAAACATCAGAAATATAATTTTTCTACTCATTGGGACATAACAAAAGTTTATTCACTAACTTTCTACCAAATGCTCAATTTATTTGAAACCATCAAGTCCAACTTCGACATCGATACATACTATTATGTGTAGCAATGGTAGCATTGCCATTGAATAAATAAATACCTCCGATTCCTAAGCATCGCATACGTTGAGATTTTTTTATTTTGATCATTTATCTATTCAAAGTTATTAATCGTTGATTGTATATCTATTGTTTTAATCATGTCCTATAGATCCCTGCGATTTACTGTCTTAACCGTTCACGTCAACGTTCCGCTCTTGGTCCATGGTTGAAAAATCTACCAGATTTGCTTGACGAGTGTGCGCACGTCGAGTTTGTCATTGGTGTTGAACTTAGAAATAAATTGGCAAATAAAACAACTGACTGTTTCGAATCTGTAGGAAAATTGGAGGTTTTATCGACGCAAAAGACTGTTGTACCGGTTCAAATTAATCTGTCTTGTTTTGTAACTTATATGTATTATTACTTAGCATGGGATTACATTGTCTCTGGGTTTCAACTAGAGTTGTATTCTTCAAGTGAATGGTTGTTTATTTACGCCTTTATGATACACTTATTCCAAAATTTAGCTTCTTTAATCAAAAGTTTATCGGGAAACAGCATCGTTTCAGGATCTGAAGGGCGAACTACATTAGAAAATGAATCCGCTGATAGTAAAGGTCTAAATAAACAAGTTGATAAATGTGATTCTGTGAATGGTGTTGAGAGGCTTGACAATCGTCAACGTAAAAAGAAAAAGAAACGTCGAGAAAAATGCAATGTATCCAGTGTACATAATAAGAGCATAGAAATTTCGAATATCGAGAATTTTAACAGCGTTGTTAAACCAATTTCACCTATGATACATGAAATAGGTTCGACTTTTGAGGTAAGCTTTTTTATCGTTAATCTGCATTAGTCACCTGATTAGTTCTCAAGATACTTAAGTGTTCGGATTGCTTATGATTTGAATGTCTTACTTATAAGTTGACTGATTCATTAATATTAGCATAACAATACTTCTGAGATATACGATTCTATCTGACTAAAACAACTTAAGTTAATCAGTCCACGCCATCATCCATTAATTGAAGAAAAGTTATTATCTGGATGTCATTCTTACTTGTGAAGCATTAAAGTAATGGATGTTTAATATTTGCTGAATATCCTTGGGGTTAAACTGTTGAACTGGTTATAAATTTGTTAAATATTGCTTAACGGATGACCAAAGTTTCTTTACACACTTAAATTGCTATAATTTAGTCTTTGACTATAGTTATATTTTTGCATTCATTTGACGTGGATTTTTAAACTAATATTTTTTCCATAGTTGAAAGCGTGAGTCAATTGAAGCTAGACTACCATGGAAAACCTGGAAGCACTGGACGGCCGTTTCGTCCTATTATGGGACTCCTCAGCAATGTGCATCCACGATCCTGTTGTGAGATATCAACTCACTGAAAACAATTGGTGAAAGGTTCCTCAACTTCGTGGATCAGTTGAAATTAGACATTAACACCGTTGGATGCCGGCAAGCTCAGTGGTCTATCGGTTAAATGCTCTTGCGCGAGACTGGTAGGTCCTGAGTTCGAATCTCGCGAGTGCGGGATCGTGAATGCGCACTGCTGAGGAGTCCCATAATAGGACGAAACGGCCGTCCAGTGCTTTTAGATTTTCCATGGTGGTTTAGCTTCAATTGACTCACGCTTTCAACTATGAAAATACTAAATCTCCACCATACCCCTTTTGATAATAATATTTCTTTCATGATTTGTGTTAAAGTTAAATGTATTCGATATGTTACTAATGTTGAGAAAAATAAGTTCAGTCATTTTTGAAACAAAGAAAAGAGGGTATGGAATTTCACCAACAGGAGCTCTGTTTTCAATGTGTATACATATATATCGAAAATGTCATCTAAGCAGACTACATTTCTTAAGTTCCAATGGAATCATTCGTAAACATGCCTATTTTAATGTTCTGGTATGTTTTCTTGAGGCGAGTAGACAATAAGCGTACAACAACAAAGCCAGCTTACTCGAATAATGTGGATTACTTACAGTGGTAAACTAATATCCCAGTTTCTACACTAGTGAATTCCCAAACTGAAATGATTAATCTTTAAGGTTCTTGCATACTAGAAAGTTTGGTTGAAGTTGTGTCTTTTGCTTTCTTTTGTTCAGTTTTATGTCCATCGAGTCAAACCGTTAGCGGACCGAGATTTCGAACATTTATTTAACCGTATAATCCCGTTTTTTAACTATATCATTACAGTATTTGATGTAGTTCGAGACTGTCTTCAGAAGAAATGAGGTTCAAACTGCTGATAAGTTACATCCTTGAATGTATTACTGTGATGTCAGTTATTTAGTTTAGTATCTGTTAGCTGATATACTTAATTTTTTCCAAAAACTGAAAATGATCACTATCACTAGAAGTACACTTTTTCTGTCTGCCCATTATAAACCAATTAGCTAATGTAGATATTTACTTATAGGTTTAGATTAATGAGTTTAATTTTCTGTTGAGTGATTTAAATTTGCTTTACTGATTTCCATTTAATGTGATTTGAAAAAGCTAACATAACTCAGTATTCAAGACCATTCCTATGTGTTAACTAGTGACTCAAAGATTGTGTAACATTGACAAGGACTAATGGGCTCTTTAAGTATAATGTATGGATTGATTTCTATCTCGTAATTAATTAACCAATTGAAAAAGACATCCAGAAACAGACGAAAATGAAAAATAAACTTACCATGATAGTAAATTAGATCATTCTGCTGCACTTCATAACAGAATGACAAAAAGTAATAAAATAAAGAACAAATGGATAGGGAAATGAAACGTTCATAATTTAAATAAATATTAAAATATGCATTTCTGCCATTTTGATTGATTTTGAGTAATTTGTTCTACGGTCTCCAGTTATTCATGCAGTCACCATGTCGAAAGTCTTAATAGAAATGCTTTACGCGAACCTTAGAAACTCAGTCGTTTTGTGGGTTTATAACCTATCTTCATTGAAATATTATTAATATCTTTTAAACTGGTACTGAGCGTTTATGTAGTGTATGGTTTGATCGTTAATTTATAGTTCTGTAATACTCCATCGAGGTCAACGCAACTTTTCTTATGAGTGTAGTAGTCGACAAGTGGATCCTTAAGTATCATTTGAAAAATATATCAGTAATCACGAACCTATACCGAAAACTAAACAAAAACCGACCTTTCATCAAGAACGTCTCATAGATCACAAATGGACCAGTAAATAGTTAATGATGAGCTGCTTTGTGAGGCAAAGTAGTGGTAACTGAAGCACCCAATTTCAAACTATTAGGTTGTAGATCGAAACACCAGTCCGTCTATTTTAATTAAGGCAGCCAAGTTGTATCACTCGTCTCCACTCAAAAAGGCGTGTATAATGGCATTTAGTCTAAAAAGATCCCTTCAAAATCTTTTGATATTTTTGCCGTTTATCCATCATCTCAAACCATCTTTGTTTTTCTCTTGTCATATTTAAAATACACGAAAATCGTTACACAGAATTTATTTTAGATGAAATCGCCATCAATCTGTACATTAGTATGCATATTAGAAGGCTTAAATATGTGGGGAAATGGGCACACTGAATAATTATGATCTTATAATAATGAATATTATATTAGACTAGACTAGCCCCCAAATGCCCTGGTACGGCCGAGAGTGGGGAGAGTCACCTCTCCCTCTCGAAATACTCTCATATGGCCACGCGTATATAGCCTCTGCCAGGGAAGTCCTACTCACTGCCTTCTTGTGGCGGGGGTGTTGTTTACGAAAGTGAGAGGACGAAAAGCGAATGTCCGGCGCTTTAACCGGGTTGGTGGACATGGAAAGTTCACCTAGGGGAGTTGGAAAACCCTGATTCCAAACCAGTGGTGCACATGGGCTCCAGTATCCTGAGGGAACAAATGGCGTACGAATCAACCGTTGATTACCGGCTACCATGGGACTGCATCTCCTCACGATGCTCCACTGCCTTGTGGATCAGACATTCAGGTCAAAGGCTCCGGGTGTGTCACCGTAAGAAAACCACCTGCTTCAGTCTGGGCACCTGGGCAGTATCACAGCCCTCACACAAATCGAATGAGATTTGTGAGGCGCATATTTATCTGGTGCTTCCTTGTACCATTATTTATGTGTTTAAATAAATAAATAGACTAGATAGCGTAAAAATCGCGTAATTGACATTACGTGAATAAACAGGTTTTTGGTATGCTTTGTTTTTTTCTTTGTCCGGTTTGTTTAATAGACTTCTTGGTAATTATGATACCTATTCCAAATCCAATGGTTATTTTATCTAGATATCTTCGACTTCTATCTCTTTTACTAATTGTAAATTTTCAGAATCAGTCGCTTACATTTGAAGGGATGGTTGTGTAAACCGTAAGGTGTTGATAGGTGATTACAACACATCCATTTTGTTTCCTGCGAAAAATCCGGTTGAGAAGTAAGCTTTTAAACAAATTCTAATAAACCAGTCCCTTTGTATACTTACAGCAAGTGAATTTAAATATTCAGGACACAGGTTTTTCATTTGCCGATTTTTGTGTACAGGTAAATAGATTCACGTTTAATCGCTGTTATGACAACTAAAACTTCTGTATGATCCTGAATGTCCTGTCTTGTTAGAATCTTATTTCTTTGTCCTTAGTAAGGTAGAGTGATTTTTTGAATAGTAGTATTTTGTCTAATAAAGGTTTCTCTACTTATATCAATATAAAGGCCTCTATTTTCATCCTAAATATTTTTTCAGGTTCACTTACTCAGTGTACATCAATACTTGAATACTGCAACCCTGTATGCTATACGTGCACTCCAGAGAGATAGTGGTATCGAAATAAATGTGAATCGTCAAAGTCCGGATCCTGCTCCCGACGGGCAACTACGTACATTTATTAGTCGAAGTAATTATCTGGAATCTTATGCCAGAAGGCTTGGAATTTTTCTTATTCCTCATAATTCACCTCTAGTTGAAATGGGAGGTGTTTCAGGGGCTTACGAAACATGGAGATCATTAGTAAGTAGTAGCATTATTGATGGTCGTTCAACAAGTGATCTTTATCTGATGGCAGCAAGAGCGTTTGATGAAGCCCAGAATTTGATTCAGAAAACCCAGTATTTGAAGTCAATAGGTGAAGAAAAGTTACTAAGGTTCATTCAGTCTCATATTGCCCTACCCCTGTTCATTGAAAAGTTAGGGCCTCCTGACCAACTCATCGATCTTCAACAGTTAGCAAGACGTAATTCCATTGCTTGCCGTGTTCTTGGTGTATGTGAAGATCGACGACCAATTATACATACATCCAATCCGTCCACAATAAATCCTAAAATGTCTTTTTTGTGTCCATGTAGTCCAGTTAAATTGGACTACAATTTTTTAGAAAGCAAGTGTTATCCGCTTATTCGTCTAGCTAGTCAATCTAAAAAGTGTTGATAATATTTATATTTACCATTGAATACCTGTTTGGATATTAAGGATTTGTTCATAGACTGAACATCAAAATGATGGTTCTAATTAATTTTTTCTTTTAGTTTAATGTCTTTTAGCAGATGCATGTTTTTTGTATACTGACTTTTTTGGAACTTAGATCTTTTTCATTCTTATAAATTATTCAAATATCTTCCTTTCCCCCTGTATATCAGTGTCCTGGTATTTGTTGTAATGTATGAATCCTAGGCAAAGAACCATGTACATAAGTCGAAAAATAATGTACATATTTATTGGAGATATCGTATTTATCTTTAAATTCATGATAGTTTAGTGTATTAAATATTTTGTTTTGGATAACTATACTGCCTACAATTTTAAATCAGGTAAAGACGTCAAATAATAGACAAATTTCATTCAAGATACTAGTTCTGAATGTAAGCTAAGAATTACAACCCTTTTGTGGATTTAAGTTATCAAGAGGAAATATTAGCTCATATCGTCTTAAGTAACAACAATTGTTGAATGTCATATGCTAACCAAGTATCCTTTTACTACCTTCTTTGTATTAATCAGCCTTGTATTTTAGTATGTGGTCATTTTGAATGTTCGATTTAGTTTTTTTTATTTATAAGTAGCCATCACAGTATGCTGATTAAATGATTTGGTTTTAGACACTTCATTTACACGTTCGATGACTTGGCAATCAAATTTAAGTGATTAGTATGATACATAAATATTCAAAAAATCATATTAGTATATTAATTTTATGACGAGATGGTCGCCCTGTTAACATTTGTTGTTAATAGTGTATAGTCTTTATGCTGTCAATTATCTTTCTGCACATGTTGGCTCATTGTCTCGCTAAATGCTGTCATTTGTGGGACGTAGAACGTAGTATTCGCAAAAAGTTCGAATTTATTACATCAATAAGACGGGCTTAGTTGAAAATCAAGTGCTTAGAAAGTGCTGATTTGTCTGTATAGTGACGGGTCACATGTATAACCTAGAATGTCATGAGGATATATAACATGCTGTTTTCATCTTATATTGACATTTTCCCCGGCGATGACTCTTCCGGTTTCAGTGTGTGCGGAATAAAACTGGTCATAGCGAATAACTCCTGAGGACGGTTTCATTCTTTGAATTTGAACAAAAGCGAAAGCTTGACTAATGCAAATACCTAATTTTTTATCAGTATTGAAATATCTGCTTACAGTTCTTGAGTAGGTACGTTTTAAACCTGTCTTGTGAAGTCTAGCTCAGTTGTTTCGAAACTACACATCCCTGATGATCAGAAGGTTGTCAATTTAGAATAGATTTATTATCTATATGCACCACACAACCGGTTAAAGTGCCTGACATTCGCTTTTCGTCCTCTCAGTTTCACAAACAACACCCGTGTCGTGAATAGTACTTTACTGGTAGTGGTTGTATACGCGTGGTCATGTAAGAGCATTTCGAAAAGGAGAGCTAACTCTCCCCACCCTTGGCGGTACCAGGGGATTCGGGGGCTATTTAAGTATATTTATTGATCTTGTTTGCTTACTAAGAAAGTTGAATCTGCAATTCAGAAATATTACCATAGATACATAATTATTTCAAATGCGTTTAATCTATGCAAATAACGATAAAAATAATTGGTGCTAGTTTTCCCAATCCAAGGTAAATAATACTATGAAGACGTATAGTTAGAAACAAGTATTGAGTTAGTAAAAGAGTTATTTTTTATATGATAACGAGTTGTGCCTCGTGAACACTTAGCGAGAAACCGATTAACGTCAACATCCATTCTTGTGGCCTGTGTTCAACACAGAACATCTCATAATGATAATTACAGTCAATCGGATAAATTTGATATGTTTGTATGTAACTAGTAAATTGAGTATTAAAAGAATGAATTTTATTGCTGCTAATCAGTCTTTTTTAAATTAATAATGGTAATATATGCTTTATGCTGATCCATGTTTGTCGACCGTAGGTATTAAAATAACTTCAACATGAACAATTATATATCTTGGTCAATTTTAGTTAATGTATCATAAATAGAATTTTTGAGATCAAACAATCTACATACAAATTTACAAAAGGTTTTTTGCATTACATACTATAGCGATTGGAAGGAAAGAAAATTAGAACAGTAGAAAAAATGAATGAAACTGACGTATTGTCCAACACTATTTTCAAGCATACTATCTAGCTTAAGGCATAATTAGTGTTGTTCTTGATCCAATTGGAGCACGACTTAAAGCATTTTTCGATGTTTGTCCACTGACTAGTTTTTCCCTATTGTAAATGAAGAAAATGGATTAGTGTTACTGAATCATTAAGTTATAATAATTGATTACTTTGAAGTTACAATTTAAATAAAGTGACCTATAATGTTATTATCCTTCAAAATGTCAATTGCGTAGTTTCGATAGCTTCGCTTCAAAATCAGTCGTTGGAAACTGATTCGATTGGCGCTTAACATCCTAGTTTTTTGGTAGTGAATTCCTAGAGGACATTCGGATGTTGTTAGTATACAACCATAAATCCCCTTGAGGTACCGCTCACAAATGTTTGCATCACCGATTGAACAGTACTAAGTTCAGGTATAGGATACGAGGCCAATCGGTTAATGAAGTTGTATATCTTCATTAACTTAGGCTATTGGAACTTGTATTATATAACCCTAGTCACCACCGACATCTACGTATGATGTCTGTTAGTGTAAGAGTAGGTTGGGAGAAACCTAAGGGCGGTCGTGTAAGTAGGTGGGTATTGCCTGATTGGGGTCTGCGCAAATATCGCGAACAGTAGTTTAGAGTTACAGGTGGTTTCTGATGGCGCATATGAGCATATTCTTAGACTACTTTTAAATCCAGAGTTTCTAAACTATTTCAGGAATACATTTTCTTTGATCATGTCCTCTATATCGAATGTTTGCTATTATCACTGATACTGTTACTACTACTTTGTAATTTGATGTCGCCTGCGAACTTAAACCAATATCGATCGTTGCTACTACCTTAACGTGATGGTCCGACTTGCCTATCGTGGTGAACCAATCGGGATATACTGGCTGGGACAATCGTTCTTCAATATCCTACCATGGCAGACAAGTCGGTTAGAGAGCGGTAAGACTAAGAGCAGCAAACCCAAGGTCCGAGGGCGAAGTCGTACAGCTGACTGTACAGAGGTGTGACAGCAGTATGGTGTTTCCTTCAGACAACCAGCATCTACAGCGATGCTGTCTTCCCACAAGGAAGGGTGGGTTTAGAAAAGGTCGACCCTGATAATGAACACCTTGCCTTAATCCCACGAATATCCGTCTCTCAGCGGTAAGGTATCAACAAGTACGGAGCTAACACAAAAGTTACAGAAAGGTCTTGTGTGACTGACCTCAGACAGTTGTCCCTTGGGCACTGAGACCAACTCAAACCCAATTTCCTTTTCAGGTACCTCTAGAAGAACCCTTCCACGGTGTGGGCAACCGGGAAGTGATAACTGCCTTCATACCTCTAACATCACTCGAGATCACTGTATTCATAATCAATCTCCCTCTTCAATTCCTATTATTCCTCCTGTCTTGACTTTCAACCCTAAACTTCCCTATTTGACGTCTTCCTCAAGTATCATCGCGACCAACGATTCTAGTGCGCAAAACACTGTCTACTGAAACCTCACTCCAACTACACATTGGAGCCTTCAACGTACACACCCTATGTCAAATCGGCCAGCAGGCCTCCCTGGCTAAAACCCAAGGATCTCGTGCGATTGATGTATGCTGTGTCTCCGATACACATATACCGGATCCTAGTGTGGTCATTCACTTGACCTCACCTCGCCAAAACGGAAAGCGGACGAGATACACCCTCCGTTTATCTGGCGACCCGATGGCTATTTCTCGTAGACTGGCAGGTGTATGCATATCACTTAGTACGAGGGCAGAACAGGTACTTTTAGAATAGATCTCTATTTACAGTCGTCTGTTTGCTGTTCGGCTAAACGGCTCTTTAAAAACTCGGAAGGGAACACGTCGTTTCTGTGACGCATATATATCTCAAATAGTTATAGCTAATCTGAAACAAGAAAGAGTAGATGGATTGGCTCCAAATGTCTTTAAGTATGGTGGTCCAATTTCAGCGATTAGGTTGACTAATATTTTGACTAAAATCTGGGAGTTGGACGTAATCCCATCTGACCGTTCGCAATCACTTATTGTCCCAATATATAAGAAGGGGTCAAAATCATCCTGTGATAACCATAGAGGGATTAGTTTAACTAACGTTGAGATGGTGCTATACAGTGGCTAGAGATGTTATCAGATATGGCTCAGAATAGAAGCCAGTGGCGATCCTGCTGCAACCTTCTTTTACTTTGGCATGCGTCAAGACCTGAACTAAGGATAGGAAGTGAAGTAGTCGAACGCGTCAACAACTTCACCTAACTTGGAAGTCTGATCAGCCCTAATGGGTTGGTGTGTGACGAAATCTCAGCACGGATTCAAAAAGCTCTTTTGGCTTTCACCAACTTACGTCACCTATGGCGAAGACGAGATATCCGTCTATCAATTAAGGGACGAGTATATTGCGCAGCAGTTCGCATTGTTCTACTTTACGGATGTGAAACATGGCCATTAAGAGTAGAGGATACACCGATTACTACGACACGCTGTGCTGACTAGTATTACAGATGGTTTGAAGAGAGTTAGGGGGCGGCATACCAAAACGTGGTATCAGAGCTTGAATTCACTAACTTCTAGTCTGAGCCATGTTGGTAGATTCAGAATACTTGGTTGGGGTCCGCGTGACTATCGTAACCAATGGTTGGAGACTCTAGGTGACATGGCTCAGAATTGATCACAATGGCGTAGGTGTATACACTCTTTATCTTCCCTTAAACTATGAGATTAAAATTGCTTCATATTTGTTTTCCTTCCTATACTATATCCTTATATACGACCTTTCTTTTATATATTTCCACCACTAAATTAACTACTTCTATGAATTTGGTGTTCATCTTGTTGTGTTAACGAGGTATGGCGACTTGGACCGATGCATATGTGTGCCTGGTCCTACGTTGTAGCCGACTGACTTCTTTTACTTTCCTCATAAAAGTGGCCGTAACTTCTTTGACTGAAAGAATTCTTTCTGTTTGTACCTTTCTGTTTCTCCCATTACTATTATTTTTTTCACTATCATACACTAATCTGTGGTTGTTATTGTTCTTTTGTTTCTTATACGCATCTTACCTTCTTTTTCTCTTCCCATTCTCATTGTTTTGTGTGGTGAATATGTATCTGGTGCCCCCTTGTACCAATGTTTATGTGTTCAAATAAATAAATAAATTCTTCCTGTATTATATACTTATGCATGATCTTTCTTTTACATAATACTACCATACGAAGTAACTGTTTGTATGAACTTGCTGCTCATCTTGTTGTGTTAATAATGTGTGGCAACTTGGACCGATGCACATATATGTTAGGTTCTACGCTGTTTACAACTGGCTGATTGAAGTATTTAGAATTATACAGTAAAATGTATTATTCAGTTGGCATTAATTTTTTTTAATAGTCATTCAGCACATGTAACATAGAAATACCCATAAAATGCCCATCCATTATTGGTTATTGTAGAGCATGATAACTTCATCACTGTTACATCCCCCGGTGAATTACGAATGTTAACTTTTAGGACTATTTATCGACCAATGTATTATGCGTATTTCCTATTGTACAATTGTTACGTAACTAAACGATTCATATTTGTGTTTCTCTTATTATGAGCTTTATTTTGATCTTTGATTTATTATCATACGATTCTTGAGTTATACTCAGTTATTGATTACTTTGGTTTGTATAAAAACCCATTATGTTTGTAAATAATGATTCATACCACTGAGGCTGTTATTGGTGTTTTGGACTTAATTGGCTGGGCTAGGCAGATCGCAGGACCGGTTAGCACTCTAGTCTGCTCGTACGGGTTTCGTGTCACTGTTCCAATCGAGAATTCGCTCTCCCTAATTGGCCGTCTTATCGCGTCACACATTAGCAATCCATCCACTCGGCCACAAGATATAACAATCACGACAGACAGATATTATTCTCGGTAATTATTAGAATGCAGTATAGTTTTATTTATTTAAACACATGAATATTGGTACAAGGGGGCACCAAATATATATGCGCCACATAAATCTCATTTGATTTGTGTAAAGGCTGTGATACTGCCCAGGTGCCCAACCCGAAGCAGGTGGTTTTCTTAGGGGGCCACACCCGGAGCCTTTGACTTAAAGATCCGATCCACAAGGCAGTGGAGCATCGTAAGGAAATGCAGTCCCACGGTACTCGGTGACCAACGGTTGATTCGTACGCCATTTGTTCCTTCAGGATCCTGGAGCCCATGTGCACCATTGGTTTGAAATCGGGGTTTTCCAACTTCCCTAGGTGGACCCGCCGTGTCCACCAAACCGGTGAAAGCACCGAGCATTCGCTTTCGTCCTTCCAATGTCGTAAACAACACCCCCGCCACGAGAAGGCAGTGAGTAAGACTTCCCTGGCAGAGGCTATATACGCGTGGCCATGTGAGAGCATTTCGCAAGAGCGGGCCTTCTCCACTCTCGGCCGTACCACGGCATATGGAGTATGGTTATGATTAAATTATCTATCTTAGATTCAAAGTGTAGTTAATGCAAGGAAGAGGTAAATGGATCTCATGAGTGATAACACGCTTTTATTGACTGAGTATTCGTTTTGTAGGGTATTGTAATTCGTGGTCATTTTGTTTCTGGCAAAAAAAAGACAGTTTGTGCATTCATTTCAATTTTAGTTTTGTGAATGAATCTATTCTGACCATTATCATATGGTTACAATCTCGTGGCATAAATACTTATACTTTTATTGCACATGGTACCGAAGTAATTCATTCAAAAAAAACCTGAAGAGCAACTGAAGGTGAATGTCAATTAAATTGTATATGACTTTATATTCGGTAGCTGTGTTACACTATAAAATATAATTCAATAAACTTACTCTCCATCTGTCACCCGTTGGTCAACAGTGGTTACAGCTACTGTAGATGGACTAGCTGCTTTATACTGCAAAACAGAAAAATTTATGTGATTGTTTTTATGATATATTATAATATAAAAAAATATTACTAGCAGATCGTCAATTCATCTACATCACGTTTCGCAAAATATTTGAAGTCAGAATTTCGATATGATTGACACTCAAATTTCGCAGTAGTAACATTTTCTGTGAAACAAACACTAAGAAAGTTTACTCAGAGGTCACTTATTTCTCAGTCAATTTTCAAATGAATACAGTAATAAGTTTTCTAGACATGGTCAGTATTCACCAGAGAAATAATGTGATGAAACATCTGAATCAACCACAGAACATAAGATCCTCACAGACCAGAAATATAAGTTATGGTTAAACATACAAAGTCTCACGCCCGAATGGGGGATCTTATTTAAGTTATTGGTTCTTTTATGGATGCTAATTTTTTGTGAACTATGTCACAATTACTTTATAGAAGTCTGATGAACCACTGTGACATTACTTTCACAAGTTACGTTCCCAAGAAAATAGGTTTTAAAAAATTAAACAATTGTATTACATTTAAAATTTACAACCTAATGAACTTTGAATTCACTTAGTATTGTTTGTTTGAATCTTCCCATCGATGTGTTTAGGACTGCAACTGGTCTTTCGAATCCATCTCGTTTTATAATGACAACCATGTCATCTACGTACCTAGATCGGAGGATGGGATCCGTTGAACACAAATTACCTTTTTTAGTCTGTTTGGTTGGAAGGAAACGTAATCGTTTGAAAATTAGTATATTCCGAAAGCCAACATATTCTGCAAAACATCTACATTACAAGTCACCAAGAATTTGATAAGCAGAGTTCAGAAACTCATTAAACCAGATGACAATGAAAGTGAAATGAATTTAGTCGTGTCCACTTTGATGATGAATAATTATCCGAGGGATTTTATAGAGAGGATAATTAAGACAGAAAACCAAAACCATAATGTGGCAGATAAACCGAAAGGAAGAGTTAACGCAGAAGTGATTCAATATCGTAAAGGAACTTCAGAAGAATCCTAAGTTTTAATTTATAGGATTATTCCGAACAGTACTTTAAGATCCGAACTGGTAATAATCAAAGATTCAACACAAAAAAGGGAACAACAATATTATGCATATGAGATAAAATGTAGTGAATATAATGCTATATATGTAGGTGAGACATCACGACAACTGGATGTGAGGAAAAAGGGACACAAACCTTGTTTGAAGTACGTTCCTTAATCTTCAAATTATACAAAAAAACATGAAAACAAGTCAGCGTTAGCATTACATTCAGTAGAGTCAGGCCATAGGATTGATTTCGATGGCTCAAGAATACTGCAAAAAGATTTTAATTCTTACAAAGTGGGACTAACAGCTGAAGCCCTACACATATAGGCAAATTCAAACAATATTATTAAGAGATATGGAATAAAATGATCTGTCCCATGGCAACTAGTAATTAACAGGCGAACCTAAACCCTATTCCATTTAATCTATCACTTATCTGAAAAACAACGATTACTTCCAACTGCTCTAATCGGTCGGTTTATCTGAATATATGATGAACAAACTACGTAGAGTTTGGGCTGATGACTTCGTTCAGAAGAACGAAAAAAGCTCCACGACCAAACCATCCAGCTCAAAGAACACAACTTCACCGAAATCATTTTGTGCATGCTGTGACATGTTTGACACATCATCTATAAAAATTGTCTGTTTTCAAGAATTTATCGATCAAAGGCGATAGACAGCGAAATTTATCACATCTCAGATCCACTTACAAATACGTGCAATCTGTTATTTTAACACAATTTTCTTTACGCACTAAACGTATCATACGAACTGCACCAAACACTTACTTTCAATATTGTCACCATGATTGCATGACCTGTTAAGTATTCGGTTAACCAGAGAACCACTGTACCTATTTACATTAGATAATTTTGATGTTTGATCATATCTCCTTGTATAAGCTTGGACCAGATTGTCAAGCGAATTTTTCTTCAAATTCAATCACTGAGATTTTGCAAATATGTTTTTCTTTAATGTCTTACATTAACTCGGAGCCTAACTACTATGAAACTATTCATTCAAATTTAGACGAAGACTCTTCAGTGTGAATGCGTTTAGTTCCGATTTCAGGTAAAATGATCATCCAATTATTTCTCATCATTAGTATATTTTTTACTGATGACAATTTAAGGATAGCTTTCTTCATGGACTGGTAAACAATTCATGTAAAAGGTATACTGGATAACTATTTCATTATAATTTAAGACTCGTTTGTATCCAAACACCATCTCACACGAGACGCATTGTTTAAATACTGCTGAATGACATTTTCAATTTCAGATGGAACATTATGATCATAACTCCGCCTGAAGCCCGTCTGTTGACACTGCCAGTCCCAAGCCCGGATAAATGAGGAGCGTTGGGCATGAGGTTAGCGACCCCATCTCGTAGAAAACTAACTCATCAAAAAAACGCTAGCTAGAAAAAATAATTCAAACCATTTAAACTCTGCCCTGGGAGTTAGAAGGTCTTCATTTAAAAGAGTTATGGCGCCTCATAGTGAAAACCGAGTTCCTTCGGAAGTCACGAGGCTGATTCTCCTTCTGACAACCAGAGCAACCATTAATTTAGGTACATGGAATGCTCGTACAATGTGGAAGACCGGGAGAGCCATCCAAATTGCTGCAGAAGTGAAAAGATACAACCTGGAGGTGCTTGGGATTAGTGAAACACATTGAACGCAGGTTGAACAACAACAACAACTAGTTTCAGGGCAGCTTCTGTTATACTCCGGTCATGAAGAAGAAAATGATACACATACACAAGGATTGTCAATGATGCTGTCCAAACAAACACAAAATGCACTTATAGGATGGGAATCTCATGGACCAAGGATCATCAAAGCCTCCTTCAAAACAAAGAAAGAGGGCATTACAATGAACGTCATCCAACGCTATATGCCTACCAACGATTACAATGAAGACGTTAAAGATCAATCCAACGACAGGCTGCAGTCAATCGTCGAGAAATGCCAAACAAATGACTTGGCTGTTCTAACGGGAGATCTCAATGCTAAGGTTGGAATGGACAACACCGGATACGAAAATATCATGGGACGACATGGACTGCGAGAAAGGTACAAAAATGGTTAGAGATTTGGAAACCTATATGCCTGCAACAAACTGGTCATAGGCGGTACAATATTCCTACACAAACACATACACAAAGCCACATGGACTTCACCGGATCACACTACACAGAACCAAATCGACTATATCTATATCAATACAAAGTTCAGAAGGACGATAGAAGACGTAAGACCGAAGAGAGGAGCTGATATAGCATCAGATCATCACTTGGTGGTCGCCAAGATGAGATTGAAACTCAAGAAGCACTGGACAATGGGGCGGATAACATCACAAAAGTGTAATACGGCCTTTCACGATTTACTCAATAGAGAAGGAACTACTATGGAGAACAACTGGAAAAGGATCAAGAAGTGAACCCCTTCAACATGTTAGGAAGTTCTAAGTCACAAGAAGCACCATCACAAGGAATGGTTCATTGTTGGTACACTGGATAAAGATGAAGAAAGGAGAAACAAGAAGCGGCAGTCATTATCAGTCAAACAAAAACCTTTACATATCTGGACAGCATCATTCTTTAACACAGTGGATCTGATGCGGATGTGAAGGCGTGGATCAGCAAAGTAAGAGCAACATATCTACAATTGAAGAATATCCGGAACTCAAAACAACTGTCGAGCAACACCAAGATCAGAATTTTTAATACAAGTCTCGAGACAGTTCTACTGTATGGGGCGGAAACTTGGGGAACTACGAAAGCCATCATCCATAAGATACAGGTGTTTATTAACAGTTGTCCACGCAAAATACTTCGGATCCGCAACAACCTACTGTGAGAGAGAACTAACCAGATTCCAGAGGAGGAAGGAGCGCTGGAAGTGGATAGGACACACATTGAGGGAAGCACCCAACTGCGTCACAAGGCAAGCCCTAACTTGGAATTTTCAAGGCCAAAGGAGAAGAAGGCTAAATGACACATTACTCCGAGAAACGGAAACATATGAGAAGAATAAACAAAAGTTGGATAGAACTAGAAAGGAAGACCCAGGAAAGAGTGGGTTGGAGAATGTCGGCGGCCTATGCTCCATTGGGGGTAATAGGCGTAAGTAAGTAAGCAATTATGATAATATAATCTTATCTTTGAAATATATCACAGTAGATTTTATATAAACCTACTATCATTTACTTTAAAAGTTTCCAATTTTCAATCTAGTAAAACTCACCTTTATGAGTTTACGTTCTTCAGAGCCAAGTCGATAGGCATCGTAGTAAAATTTCATTCCAGCACCAAAGAATAAAAATGAGCACGCAATTAGTAAAGGTCCAATTAATTCACCAATATCTAATGATAAGATTATATTCATATAAACATGCCGTAAACATGTGATAAGTAGACCGATAAATAGTACCAGTAAGAACATTATATAAAATCCAACTGCAATCCAATATAGTTTCTTTGCTCGACCAAACTTAACTGAATTTATTTCTCTTTGGACTTTACGATCATGATGTTCAGCTTGTATCGTTGTTCTACCACTCTTATATGTTACCAGAGAAGCCTAGAATTATTCAAAAAAGGAAAACAGGGACTATTATCATATACAACAGTCCTTGAGCGAGGTTGTACTTTTTTAATCATAAACTAGAATATTTCAAAAATCCTAGTTGGCAGGCAACGCGCAAAAATTATTTGTACTATTATAACAGTCCTTAGAGTGAACATAAGCAATGTTTACCTTTTCTCCGCTATGTAACTCAATGTATTTCCTCAATTTTACTAGTCATCTCCGATTTGGTTAGTTTTATCATTTAAATGTAATTTTTTATAAAAGATGCCGTACTTTGGAATATTATCAAATCAAAGTTCTACAGAAGTTTGACATACTTTTTTGTGTAGTTTCACATAAAGGCAAATCAATTATTTGTTATATCATAGTTCTCTATAGCTTCCAAATTAAACTAATCCATTGTAGAGATCGACCCAACACTTTATTCAGACGAATTTGCTATTTTTATGCTATGGAACTAGATTTTTTTCAAATATGGAAAATTATGATCATTGTATCAGTACGAGATTGTCTCATTCTTTACATTTATTTTTATCGGACACATATGAATAGTGGATGTGCAAACGTAAAACCTTCAGATGTGATTAGTTAAGAAATAATAGCGCTAATCTTTTAGGTTTATGATTATACGGAAGGAAGGTCAGAAGGAATGAAAGAAGAAAACATAAAATTTTTAAGTGAAATAGAGGTCAGTTATCTCAATTCAAATCTAGAGTTTCAACGAAGACTAACTTGTCTAGTGGAGAATCTTGGTTAACTTTTTTTGTCTTGATCTGTATCAGATTACTAAGGATCATAACTTATGGTCACTGTGAACTGTGTTAAATAAATAGCGCCCTTACTATAATTCTAGGTTCAAACTGATTTTGTGGATGCGTTGCATTTATAGCCTCCTAAGAAATGCCGTGAAATTAATATACTAGCGGTATTGTCCGAGGTTCAGTAGTCTTCTCGTTCTTCAAAACGTCAGAAACTCGGTCAATTACCATAAAAACAGCAGAGACACTGTGCATAACAATATTAATGATATTTCCCTATTGCTTCAAAAAACACCGCTTTTAGGACGTTAGAGTTTATATTCGATGGTTAGCGCAGTCATTCAGAAATGCTGTCTTCAGAATATGACTGTTCATTAAGTGAGAGCATATACTTGTTGTTATTTGTCACTAAAGCCTCAAAGGTTTTAGGTGGTTGAAAGTTGTCTACAGAAAATCATGGAGACTTCGTAGTTCTCTATTTTTGACACTGGATAGTGGCTGTCTGGCCTCAGTAGGTTGATGGATAATGCTGTGGGGTTTTAAGTGGTAGATACTGAATGTGAGTCGCGATATGGATATTACCATTAGAATCTAGATGTATCCAGGTAATAGCACGAAACGTACAGTCTAGAGTCCACTACTAGCCACCACACAAAGATACTAATCCCTGTGTATATGTTCTTTTTCCTGAAGTACGGCTGAAAAGAAAAGTGGTATCGAATGGTCCATCGTTGATTAAAAAAGACCAGTTAGTTACTTGTTAGAATGAGACTATCTATTTATAACCATATTTATACTGAGATCAAAAACTACAACTTTAATACTAATCAAGGGATTTAAAGTCTTAGGCAACACAATTCACACTCAAAAGTTAGGGAAAAAGAGTAATGATGAAAGAGTTGGGTAATTTTAAGAGATTAAAAAAATACTAAAGTGTATTTTAAATAATATCAAAAACAATAAAATTCTGTAAATTACTAAATAAAGTGGAAACGTTTTCATAAATAATAAAAAATAGAACATAAGTGAAGATTCGTTAAGAAGCTTATGTCAAAATTCTTAAAACCTTACATACATTCTATGGCGGAAACTCCAATGCAACACAAACGAAGGGTCTCAATAATGGTTATCAATCCTCTTTCACATTTACAGATGAAATTAACAGTTAGATAATCATGGGCACCGAACATCAGACCTTTCAAGAGAAACAGAAATTAGGTGTTTGCTGAGAACACATTAGTATCGAAACAACCGGAAGAAATAATAAAGTACACTCCCTTTTAGTTTGAAGAAAAAGTAGAGAAAGGTAATGTATAAAAAAAAGCAGCTGAAGCAAACCAGCCTAACTAACAAATGCACTAATTATTTCTATATTTACATATGCAGATGAAGTGTTATAGTAGTACTCAGTTAAAAAAGATTTATCTAAGCTAGACTCAAACTATTTGTTTGTCTGCGTACTCAAGTGTTAGCAACATCTATTTTATACGAATACAAGTGCTAATACGGGTATGCTCAAAGCAAATTATTTGAAGCAGTTTTTAAACCTGATTGAAAAGTGATTACTTTAACCACTAAGTCGCTGTTTCTAATGTAGAAAATCTCTTGTAGAAATCCGACATACTAGTTTCACTAAGCGTCTGATTAAGATAGTGGGACTGTATAGTTATTTTTGTGATATATATATATATATATATATATATATATATATATAAAGTCCTATATTTTAAAATGAAGAAATGCTTTCTGTTTTCCCTATAAAAAAGTCATCACATTCCTAATTACCAGTGCTTATGTATGGCCTTTTCTGTCTTAACAAATTATTACTACAGTTACATGCGATTAACTTTAATTAATCTCATTTGTATGGAGCATTTAGAAAATGTGAAAAGTTTTGAACTGCTTGGTAGCTTACTTTGGAAGCTTTTAAGCTCCTTGACATTCTAAAATGACTAGGAGCGTAGAGCGAACGAGTACCTTGAGCTGACTTTGCTAATAATAATGATGGCTGGTAACCTGAAATGCTACCAGTTCTACTATTGTTACTAGCCAAAACAGTCGATCCGTTTTCCACAGTTTGCATATTTGATGACATATAAACGCATGGATCCATTTGTCTTGTACTCTTCATTATATTTTGGTAAACGTTTCCAACTGACCCAATTTGTGATCTGGATTTAGATGATATATAAGAGCCTGAAACAACAGATCCTGTAGGTTCTTGATTTATGGACTGATTTACAGGGCGGATTGAAATAGTTGATGGAACACGTACAGGATCACTGGAACGTAATGAAGAAGAGCTACCAGTTCTACCCAAACTATTCAACCTTTGTTGTTCATACTGCATGCGCGTTAAGTGACTTGTCATTGTGATCAAGAGTCAACTTGATTATAATTTTAGAAACTAGAAATTTTAATAGTAAAAGAATAAAATATGAGATGAAAACCTACCAGTTTTTAAAGAATTATGTTCCTTGAGTGAAAGTTTTAGTATTTACCCGAAAACTCAATGCGTAAACAATATTTTAGCCTTCAGTGCCTACGAATAAAGACTGTTTGAATATCAGCCTCCAGATCAAACTGAACACAAGTAGAAATTTTGAATGATCAGACCATATCGGCCCTTTTTCCATCTTAACAAAAAGAACATGTATCAGAACACACGAAGTTATACTGGTTTCAAACTATTCCTTGTCCAAATTCATCGGAAACAAAATACATCGTTCAGTGACAAATCTGAAAATAGATGTGTATTAACTAGGTGGATGGATTATGAATACCACAGTTGTGGTACACTTGAAGCGGCCGGAAGAAAAGGAAAAATGACACTGAAGTCCGACCATTAGGAACAGTTAAAGTTTGAATAAATAGTTCAAGCATGTAGGTAGAAGTCAGACTTATAGAAAATAATGTAAAATAAGATTATATTTTGTTGTCTGGATAACTCCACTTCAAATCTGAAGTACTTTCGTAACAAATAACTTTAGAGAATAATAGAAGGATTAAAATAATTTACGGGTCAAAATTACGAAAGATAGTCGTCCGCTTAACAGATATGAAGAACAACTGAATAATAATGACAAAATCATGAGAAAAGCAAAAACAATTCAAAAAACCTTTCATGAATATCAAATTTAAAAGAGATACGGCTGCCGAACCTTTGGATTAACGAATTTCAAAATTCATGAATAAAATCTATTCAACTAACGATCCGAGATGTGTTTGAAAAGTAACCACTTTGTGAGGCTAATGTAACTTCTCCACACAAGAGCAAGTAAATTCATAGATGCACATCAATGTGGCCAAAAGCGGGAGTCTATCCTTAGCACATCCGTGAATAGTAGGTTGGGTTGAGAAGGTAATACAGAGCTCAGACCTATAGAAAGTTTAACTCATGGATTTTGACATTCGTTTATTCCAAGGTTCGGCAGCCGTAACTCCGTTAAATTTGATATTCATAAAAAGATTTTTGAACTGCATTTGCTTTTCTCCGGATGTCATGATATTTTTATGACGTTTATGTTTTTCGTTTTCCCTCATATCTGTTAAGCGGATGGTTATTTTTATTCTTCTATTCTCCTCTCACTCCCTGATTACTAAGTAACTTCATTTGACATATAACTTTACCTTACAAAGCAGATTGACAAATTTTGAAGCACACAACAGTGAACTCTTGGTTTGTAGACATGAGAAAGTAATCAAACTACGAGACAACAATCACTAGTTTTTCACCGTAGGTAGCTTGTATTAAAGATAAACAACTTAATATTCATAATAACTAGCAATTAACTCATATATCATGAACAATACCGAAAGTAAGCATTATATTCTCTGGTATTTTTATTTTACAGGATTCTAAGTTAATAGTATCCGGAGTATTAGTGAAAAATCTACATTGGAAACCCAATTACGATGAATCCGCAGGTTATTTACCGAATAGAATTTTCGCAATAATTTTTAGTAATTGTTTTGATGAAAACATTTGAACTGGCCTACTTCATGATATAATCCATCATGTACTTATTAAAAATTTACACGGCTCTTTATTTCCACACATATACCCTTCTATTATTATTGTTTGTACCATATAAACTAATATTTTAATGTTTCAATTGTGTCATCATTTTTTGTTTAAACTATCACTCGGGACTTAATACATATATACGATTTTACAGCTTAATTATAAATTTCTTGAAAAAAGATCCGTTTTCTGAATTTCGTGTTTTTAATACTCAGAAATGATGCATCAATTTAAGAATATTTGATCTGACAACAAATAACTTCGAACAAACAAGTCTGTGGAAATAACGTTATTAAAAGGTTGTAAAGAACTGCATAATACTCTGTAAACGGTTGTCTTATTTCGAGTCATGTCGCACAAGCGAATACTGTTTGCTAAATCTTACTAGGTTGACTGTACATTTTTAGAATGATAACCATGATTAAATAGCCTCAGTGCCTCTTGATGTCATGAATACCTACAAATATCAGATGCTTTCACTTTAATCCGAACTACTTGTTTTTTTCAGCTGTTATCAAATAACAAGACTAATTTTAGCTGATAAAATATGGAAACCGACAGGGTTTGATTCTTCAAGTGCTAAGTCAACGAGCCAAAAATCATATTTAAAACGACCCGGTTACATAACTAAAGCAAAAAATGCTAGAAGATCAGAAAACACTGCTTAACTTTCATCATTCGGTTTATCAAGCATTTATGTTAACAACTGTTTTAGGAGAACTATGTGTAGTTTGTCCTTTGGCATTGATATGACAGCTTACAAGTAAGCGGCTTTTTTGACCGGACAAAAGAACGCGAGAAATTTTCTTATTATATTCACAAAATATAGAATTAGTTAGTCACAAAACTCATGCATACTAAACATTTGCACCTTTTTTACTTAGTATATTTATTGGCTTTTAAAGGACACTCTGACTTGCGAATGCTTCAAAAATAAATTATGATTATCTGAGGCAGGACTAACTGCATTTTCTATTATAAGAAAATTGGCTAGCCAACCAGCATCGTCACAAACCAAAATTCAGAAGAGAATGCCATTGTAGCTTCTGTATACTGTTATTGCGGTTTTTCACCTGCTTCATGGATCAAAAAATACTAACGGTATATGAGTCACAGATATGTTGTCTCAAAACGTTTCCGGTGAAAGGCTCTAGTTTGCTCCTTTGTCAACGGTACGCACTAGAATTACCCGAAGTCCTAGTTATGGACGAGACTATGATGGAGCATTATTTATTTATGAAAATGGGAATATGAATACTCTGTCAGTTTATTAGTAACTCAGTAACATTTAGACCTGATCTTAATTAAATTCTTCAGAGCCTTCAATAAAGTCCCACATATAGAATTGCTGCATAAATTAGCGACATTGCATTCGCAGAAAAATCGTATCCGTAAACAAATGACTTATAAGTCGGAAGTCGGCAAAGAGCACGAGTTAACTTCAAGAAACATTGGTGGTAGGCAGTAGCTACATAAAATCCTCTTAGTATAACATGAAGTAAGCGTTAATTAATCTCTCCAAGAGCCCTATGACGGATTTCCTACAGAAATAATTAAGCGTTTCCTAATCTTGAATTACCATATGTAGATACAGTTATATGGCGGTTACTGCTGGTCAAAGCCTGAAAACCAACGAACACTTTCGGAAATATGTTGGTTTATGGACCTTTCGAATAAATAAAAGCATTCGCTTACCAGAAATATACGTTTCTAATAGCATTTATACTGTTAGTTCTGGGTAGTACACTCAGTTGGCGGTCCTTTTGAGAAAAACAGAATAACTTTTAGTAATCTCGTTCCAACCTTAAAATTATTTATTTTTTATTTTGTACTTTGTGTTCCATATTCTTATCTCTGAGGACGAAAACGTTTTGAGGAATCACAAAACCGTTCATCATTCAAATACTAACTACTTGTCATATTCAAATGTTAATGATTGTAGCTCTGCCTAAACATTCAACTATAACCCTTTTAACGGATATGTACTAATAACGGTTGAAATAAGGAAGTGACCTCCATTATCAAGACTATCATAGGCTCTTTGGTCCTCTATCTTACTGAATATAAAACTGAAGCAATCACGATGAGACGAGGTAGTTGACAGTGCGGCAAGAAAAACGTAAACCTAAAATAAAGTGCGATAAAAATGTTCAATAAAAACTGTTTTGTAAAGCGTTTTATCAATTTCTCCATTTTTTATAAGCACGTGCTCATAAAATATGATCAATATTATGATCATATTAGTGGTATCCTGTTTCTGCAGTTTTAAAGTTGTATTTCAGTGTAATATGAAATAAAGGCTGCGGAAATGCAAGAATGGCTTAAATCAAGTGATTGTTCCAGCGAAATACTTTTCCGCTACATTTATACAACGAAAGATTTCAAATTCTACTAAGGAAGTACCCTCGTATATGTAGTTTGACAGCAACGAGAAGCAAAACGTGACATTCGTTAACCAAAAAACATCAAACTGAATAGCAAAATAAAACCTCCGTTTTCAGTTTGTCATTCACTAGTAACATCGTAACTACGACTAATAATCTGGGGCATTATTATTAGCCTAAGTACTAATAAACAGGCTAAGTACTTTGTAATTCGACGAAAGAAAGATACGTCTTCAGATTTATAAATCTTAAAAAAATTCAACTCACAATGTTTTTTTCATTCACATTCAAGTAAAGCGTTTACATTGCTTCCGTACTGTCATCTTGAATGTCATCCCAAACACTAACTGATCTCAAGGACACGTTTGAAAGATTTAAACAAAATACTTTGAGTCTCAAACATTGTTAAGATATGTAACGGATAAATCGGCATATCAGTCAAACTTCGATATACGTGGTTATATATATTTTGTGTTTCTATCAGCTAATAAGTGCTATGTATTTACCTGGGTACTACTGTAGGAGTACATTAATTGACCCGTCAGTGTGACTGCATATTGAATCCACGACCAGACGACTCATGAATATAAACATTCCGTTCACTTTCCGATTCCGTACCTAAGCTAACCGCGTTTGAGCGACTGCAGTAATAATTAGTCAAATACGGATTGAGTAGAAAGGGTTTATTCCAAACATAAAAGTGAGACGGGTAAACGAATCACGGAAGACGAGGCATCCAACTCACCCATACTACTCATGGCAAGCGCTTATTAAGTTCAATATAGATAATCGACAGTGTGACATATAGATAGGCATTGGACAAAATTATAGGTCACAGATATACACGCAAGGCGAAACAAGCGTAAAATTACTAGAACATGAATGTAAGAATTATATGTGTGAAAGTCTCAATTTCAGGTGAAAAGGATAAAATAATTGTGAACGTAGAAATAAACCAGTAGTCACATGCTGTCTGCGTTATTAAACGGCAGCCCAAAAGCTAGGATGAATCATTTAAGTGCATAGGAACATCAGACACTACATATCAGGCGGAAAGATTTCGTGCTAAAATTTGAACAGAACAAAGTTTTGTGGTAGACAATTTCCAACAATCACTATAAAAATTGCTTTAAGCTTTGTGAAAACGCAGATTTAAAAAACCAGTCTTTATGACGAGGCTCTTACTTGATACATTCCCGTCAGTCTTCCATGATAAGTATAGAATGTTGTTTGACCTGTGTTAATCCTTGCAGCATGTTTTTCGGTATAGAAGCAGTTTCTTATGGAAAGTGCTGTTTGGTGGAAATGATATCGTAATGCAATCCAGTTTACCTTGTTTCGCAGTCAGTTAGATATATGCCAGAATTTGTTTATATAGATTATTGGTAATCACACTGATACTTAATAGGTGGCACAAACCATTTTTGGACAGAAAGTCATCACTGAAATTTTTAAACTGCGTTATGGTGTAGTAAACACTATTCACAAGGATGTTCATAAGTCATATATGTTGGAACGTAGCATTGAACTCGCAAATTACCAGGTTTTATGGAGAGTTTTAGTGCGTCAAAAGCATAGTTTTGACAAAACAGTTGAGTAACACAGTTGAAGACAGTTCAGATGGCAAAAAACTGTGAAAGATGCAAATGGACAGCTGTGGGTTATGTATGCGTATTAATTAGATACTTCTTAACTTTCCGAAGCTACGGACGAAGGCGACAGTGTTGGAAATACTATTGATTGATAGGAAAACGACAGCTTTAAGTTAGTTTGCTTTGGAATATCACCGTTTCTTAAAGACTGACGAAGTTTGAAAATGCAGCTGATCGGCTGATGACGTCTTAGAGGTTTAGGGCCATGCGTCTCGCACCGAACGGGAATCCGCTTGTAATAGCCTTTACGTTGACTAACTTTCTACCGCGTTCATTACCAGTAGCGGAGGGAGAATGGAAGAAGTTGTCGTTGTTTTCCAAACACCTCAAAACTGTCGCTAGAATTGTGAGCCAACAGCCTGAGGTGGCAAACGCAGCATTGTCCATGAATATCTTAGAAATTACCAGAGTAGCCAGAAAGCTGACGAGCTCAACCGCGTCATCGGTAACAGACGACATTAAGGCCTCGGTTCCTGTGAGAGAGTATTTTCAAGAACTGCGGCAATGAGTGATGGAGATAAAAAGAGGCACAAAGGGGAATAATGGGTGCTCTGAATGCGTTATGTCGGACATTACTGAAGCAATCGCCCATGGAAACGGAAATATTAGCTGTTTAAACGTTACAAAATGCATTTTGTCGTCCAAAAGACACACGCATAGATATATTGCTAGTAGAGTAGCAGCACTGTGATGAGATTAGGCCGTGTAAGTTATCAGTACGGACTGTGAGAGGAGAGTCAACAAACATTTCGGGTTTTGCGTACTGTTTATTTGGAGTTAATGTGTATACAATACAATATCCTTTGGGCATAACCAAAACGACACAAGAAACTATATTGTAAGATTTTCGTAGAGAAACTGGGACAGTGGTGGACACTAAATAAGTGATCACTAAGCAGGAACGACTCACCATACACGAAGACAACGGGATAACGGAGGTACAAACAGTAAACACAAGCGAAGACAAAGTACCAGACGTCAAAACATTAATGGTAAAGTATGGAAATCTGTTCACTGAAGATGCAAATGCCTATGGGTTATGTGGGAAAATGTCACGCATAAAATCTTCACACCACGTCACCGTAAGTAGACATTTTATACGCGTTGTTCATCTAGAAATTGAGGTAAATCGACATGTAGAATAAATGTTGAGGGGTGCAATGAGTGAAGAAACAGGCAGTCCATTCAATTCACCCATTCTACTCATGAAGAAATCCCAAGGAAAGCATCGAATTCGAGTCAGCTTTCGTGGAGTGAATAACATAACTGAACTCAGACCATGAACAATACCAGCAGTGGTGGAAACTTCAGACAGCCTACAGTGTGCCAAAAAGCTCGTGGTATTAGAACCTCGGCCAAAATGTTTTCAACTACTAATAAGAGCAATTCACAGGTACAAGACGACGTTTACTGTGAAAGACAATACGTGTTTATAGGAAAGGCATTTGTGCCTAATGGGTCGCCGTTTACATTAAGCAGACTAATGGCCTTATTACTTCGAAATCTCAAAAACTTCAAAATATATGAGATGATCTTTTCATATGCAGTCGTGCCAAGAAAGTTCACATAAAACACTTGAACCCGGATACTGATCGAAGAATTTAACTTACATATTAACAAGAAGAAATCTGAGAGTGTTAAATCTATTGTTCTCCTCTTAAGATATAAATTTGGGGTAAGTGTATTAGGGCCGCTACACGAGAAAATTCTCTCAAACGCATTTCAACTCTTATTGAACGAAAGTACTCCGCCATCGGAAAGAAATGTTTAACAATTATTATTATCATTATTATTCACAAACACCTTATGGGTACATAAGTGCTGTGACGAAACCATTTCGGGTTTCTTCAAAAATGCAATAATACACAATTTTCAATAATGTTAGCATTACGATTGCCATGTTTTAGAAAGGAAGGAAAAATAAAATATTAATAATAGAATAGTAATAATAAATCAGGTTTCGCGTAATTGGCAAGAATTTTGAAGGACGAAAGGAAGAAACTAAGGAAACAGAAATAAAGGAGACGTGGAATATGTAAATATCTTAACGCAGAACAAGAACAGACGACTATGTATGTATAGAAAAACGATTAATAAAAATAAAATAAATCAGAATAAATTATTAAGTAAATGACTTATTATTGCGGTAAGATATGACGTTAGAATTAGTGTTTGTGCGTGCACAGTCATAGTTTTGGGTGATGCTATGAAAATCTCAATTAAGTGCAAAAGATAACCAATATGTATGAGGTGTATATGCATAATGAAGATAAGACGAGTCTGATAAGTTGAATTCAGCGCAACACAAGTTATTGTCTTAAACCAAAATTTCGTAATCTTAAGAATAATATTTATTTAGAATGAAAAAAAATGAGAGAAAACAGAAATGGACACAAAGTGAAAGGGTCCGACCATGATAATAATAGTGTAGTGGATGTAAACTTTTGAGATAAACGAATAATTTATAATAAAAAAATAATAATAATAAACTTTTACTGCACTAGGATAAATACGTGTAGATTTATGTAACAGTATACAGAGTGAAACCGGGTATTAGTATAAACAGCGCGCGAATTTTGAAAGTGGTAACATTTTTTCACGTAATTTAGAAATTCTTAGACTTGTTCTTTTGTAGGCTATATTGTCCTTAGATTATCATCCTTTCGCGTTTATCGCTCACACTTTACTCTAGGTTAATAAATTTTAACCGACACTTGCCTAGCTAACAGAGATTTCACTGATCAGTACTTCAATATATTATAACTGAGCACTTTTACCTGTAATACGTTGTATACTAATAGTCTCTGATCCTATTAATAACTTGGTTAATACGTAGAAATAATTATTTACTCATACATATCTGTTAGACAGGTTTTTAACTCATACAGCTTCAAAATATGTCCAGTAACTCGCGTAAAAGAGAGATTTCACCAGCTTTCAAGCCTACTAAAAGGTCAAAGTCCGTAACTCCTAAGACTGATGACTCAGTACCTGAAAATGATAAGCATTTATCCTTTGAACCTCTTTCTACCTACCCACAAGTATCACTAACACTACCTGATTCTCCATGTAACAACCCCTGTATCTCTTCGTGCAGTATACCAACGGTAAGACTAGTTGACATAAAAGGCGAAATGCCCACGTGCATCAAAAAGTCAACACAGTCCACCAAACCGCATGCTTTACTTAGGCCTAGGTCCAATATACCAAAAACCAAGGAGTCTAACAGTGTATCTCACGTATACGAGAATGCTGATCGATATAGTACTGACATTCGTCAGTTACAAAACTCCCTAGCCGAAATTTACAGTAGACTTAACTAACTAGCACCCCTCACACACATATGGGGTATTAATACCGATAAAAATCTCGAACAACTCACTGATTGGCGCGCGCTATTTAAAAGGACAGTGGTATTGTTTCACGTTGAGTTTAATTCACTGTTTTGATCGTAAATTACGTATCAAAACTACCGTTTACACTTTAATTGAATTTATTTCAGTTAACGTGACATTGTATTTGTGTGTTTTGATCCTGCTTTTGTGTATTTACTGCATCAAAGCATTCTTGGTCGACTGAGGCTTGTTTATTTGATAAGGTTGTGATTTATTTTACATATCTACCTTGCCTATCATTTTGCTTTATTCTAAGATGGTCGGCTCTGTACACAAGTGTGGACAGCCATATTGCTTATTCCCCGTGGAAGA